ATAAAGTATATCTTATCTTATATTATAATGTATACAGTATACTCTGTAGCCTATATTCACAATATACAGTTATTCTCATCAAAATGCTTGAGTCCAGGCCTTGACATTAAGCTTTATTTAATATTTCTCGATACAATTAACAAGAGTTTGGGAATAAAGTGGCACTAACTGTGTGGAAAAAAACTAAGAAAATCCACTCTCTGCCCAAATAGTCAAATAATAACTCACACAAAGAACATGCATTGTTAGTGCATGGGAAAAATTTAGGTATCCGAGCTTTAAATTCAGGAGTTTTGGATGAGGGACACGGGAGGTCCTGAACGCGAGTCCATGGTTCTGTCCGGTCCGCATGTCTGTGGTTCTGTCCACTCGACTATGGTCTGCGCTCGGTACCCAGTTCAGAAGTGCGTTCGCGAGAGCTGTTGTACAAAAATTGTACATTTCATAGCAAAGGAAGGTTTCTCACCCATCTTGCTTTGACTAATCCCTGTACGACTGAGAGCTTACACAAACTTGTACATTTCATAGTTAAACCACTACAACGCGGCCACAGCTGCCCCGGGGCAGAGCGGAGGATGTTAATCCTGTTCAGAAACGGCATAATTCATTTTCAAAAACGTCTCTATCACTTTCACTTCTCACTCGCCACAAAGCTCTTGTCTCGCTCGCTCCCACATTTGTTGGTCGCATCCAATTTTACCTTTCTCGCCACAATGCTGACCTGTTACAACCAGTGGTCGCATCCAATTTTTCAGTTTCAAAGTACTTAGCTATCTGCTGCCATCTACTGATTTGAAAAAGTATTACATGGTTACTCCACAGTTCAAAACAAGTCACCGCTCGTCAACAGCGAATGCAGTTATTTTTTAGACAAAGTAGACGAATTTCTCACGGCACACCAGACAATATCATACGGCACACTAGTGTGCCGCGGCACAGTGGTTGAAAAACACTGCTCTACACAATAGTACAGTGCCCCAAGGCCAGATATATACATATTTTTAAACAATGAAATACAATTTAATTTGCTGATGTCATCTTTAAAGACTAAACCACCAATGAAAGTCCAATGGTATGGAGGTTCCATATGGTCACTGCCCCTTGTGGTGAAAATGCGTCACTGCAGAATATTTTTCCCTCTGCGTTGGGCAAGCACAATCTGGTTTTGATCATAAAAGCGCCTGAACAAGTGCCAGTGGAGAAAAAATACAGTGAGGTACAATGGTTTTGACTCAGTTTGTGCTGGCTTTAGAATAGTGGATGTGTTTTTATGGAACAGAATTTTTTTTATTAATTTTAATACCTTCATTCAGAGAGAGGTGAAGGATTTGTCATTGTCACTTCGCCAGCGTTCAGGGCTGCATCATCTGAGTCACTCCCCACAGTCAAAAAAAGTGTGGGTTAGGTGCAATCACAACATCTTTCTAACAACTTTTGGAACACATTTGGAATTCAATTTATTTCAGAGATGAGAAAACAGTGTTTGGAAATAATAGGATTGTAGAATATTTTGAAGCTTTAGAATAATTTTATAAATACAAATTTGAAAGTAGCAGTAAAGACTAATAATTTTGTCCAGTGTCGCTGTTCAATAAACAATAATTAAACTAAAGAAAACAGCTCTAAAAATAAACAGTTTATAGTTGGATAATCTAACTTGCTAGCTCAATGAAGCCCAGAAGGGAATTGCTCGCGAATAAAATGTTACTCCTCCTCTCTGTGGTTCTTATTGAAAAGTCATCTTAAACCAGAATGGGTAACATTCTGGTTCCTATCGCCTCGGGCTCGCTCTAATCTCTCTCACTCTTCTGCATTAAGGAAAGCATTTGGTCAGCACCTAATACTGTATACAGTCTATGTTAATGAAGAGATCCTTGATACGCCTGAGTCCAAGTTTGTGGGTGTTTTTGGCTCTGTTATTTCTATCATTTTATAGTTTTTGTAATGAACAATGTGTTCTCAAATCTATTTGCTTCAGTTTTTTGGTTCATAGATTCAAATTGGACTCAAATTAGATCATTATTATGATTTGTCACACGGTAGGGATTTTTCAGTGTTGAATGAGGAGCACACAACACTCAACAACACATAGTTTTTGCTAAATATAGATAGAAAGAAATAAAGTATACAACGTGCAAGAAATATATACTTGTATGTATGAGTATAAGTAGAGTGTATCCTCGCTGTGCATATTTGCACAGTGATGATACTACTGTACATGTTAGCAGCAGGTGATACTACTGTACATGTTAGCAGCAGGTGATACTACTGTACATGTTAGCAGCATGTGATACTGCTGTACATGTTAGCAGCAGGTGATACTACTGTACATGTTAGCAGCAGGTGATACTACTGTACATGTTAGCAGCAGGTGATACTACTGTACATGTTAGCAGCAGGTGATACTACTGTACATGTAAGCAGCAGGTGATACTACTGTACATGTTAGCAGCAGGTGATACTACTGTACATGTTAGCAGCATGTGATACTACTGTACATGTTAGCAGCAGGTGATACTACTGTACATGTTTGCAGCAGGTGATACTACTGTACATGTTAGCAGCAGGTGATACTACTGTACATGTTAAAAGTGACAGTGGACACATGTGGTCCCATATGGCACATTCTGACATTACCGGTGATGCTACTCTTTCATGCTTTCATCTAACATACGCACTCAAGTCTCTTATTAAGGGGCCAGTTGTGACAGCAGGAGCCTGACAAGATCCAGCAAATTCATAAATGTTGCAATAACGTATGTATAATTTAAATCGGAGCAGAGATTGGATATGTTCACATCCTCTGTTAAAACAGGTTACTCCTGCACTAATGAAAGCACAGTGGCAGAGAATTCGAGGAGCAAGATTAGTGCACAGTTTTTTATTTTGCTTGAAAATAGGTTGAAGGTCTATTAGAACACAGCTGTGTGTGACCTTTGTCTGTGAAATGCAGGTCAAATGTAGAGAACAAATTTCCCAATGAGAACAATGATAATAATAGTCCCCCACACTTCTCACTATTCATTCACGGAGGTGTTAAAGCTTTACAGCGAGGTACTGGCATGCATATAATGGTGGAGCTGAAGTTGGCTGGATGACACTGTGAAAAGTGCCGGAGGGCCACAAAACATGACACAGAGGGCCACAAAACATGACACAGACGGCCGCGTCTTGCCCACGCGCCTTGGTTCGGATATGCCTGGTTTAAAGCAGTCTCATGGCATCAATATCTGAACATTAATTCACTCATCCACTTCTTTCACATTATACAAAGTATTTACTTAGAATGGAACAACGCAAACGCATGGCCTTATCCTTGAGCAGGAGTTTACAGAAGATTCGATGAGATGAAAGAGTCTTCAGTTTTGAAGCAGCATGACTCACAAGGACGCACAGGTCTTTGGATCAAACCAACGAAAACCCAACATACTTTGTAAATCAGAGTATTTTAAAGGAGTTTTGCTGCTGTATCAAAATAATTTAGAATTCATAGGGATAAAAAAAAAAAATTAAAACAAAAATCAGATTGTGATTCTAAGATAGTGTAGGGCTGGCGTTTCAGACATTTTTCATGATGTTGTAACAGAGATACTATGTTACTGTCAATTTTTCTGTTAATGCAACATTTTAATAAAAGATATTTGACAAAATAAAACAAAAATCTTCACTGAAAAATAGTGCCTTGACAGAAACATGAGAAAAATTCCCAAAAGACGTATAAAAACCCTCATTTCTCTTGTTAGAAAATCAAATCAAGACAAATGTGAATGCATTTGTTACTATGTGAATTTCTTGTGAATTGATTGCATAATTTGTCTTTTTTATGTCCCCGTAAAAAAAGTCTTTATCTTACATACATACACATACATGTAGACTTTGTATAGATGGACAACACTAACCCACTGACACAATGAAGCTCAATAGAGAAGTGCTCATTGTCAAAGTTTTGCTCCAACTCACTCTGGCTTAGCCTGGTCGTACCACACCATGGTACAAATTACATTTCATACTAAGGTCTGGAGGTGCTCCATTGAGCTCCGTTTACAGGTGGGAGGGGTTAACTCCTTTTGCAGATTGAAACGATTGGATCTGAGTTTACCGTGACGTATGTAATGCGCCCGAGTCTGTTGTTAGCATTTAGCATTTACTGTAGCCTACCCATCTCCTTTGCTGCTAACAGAGCCCGTGGGGAGTAGCACCACAATTTCTTCTAGCGATTACATTTGCTAAACATTACCCTTGCTCCGGCTTCAATTTCTTGATAGAACCAGACCGGATTACTTTACTATCGCATTTTTCGCCATTACCAAACTACAACCTTCCTGTTCGACGCAGACTCTTGACATCACCCACAAATAAATACAACATTCTCCTTCCGCGCTCGCTGGTTGGTCGGTCGAAACCTCTTGTAATCTCTAACATAGGGACTAGACCCAAACGTTACATGCAGTGAAATGATGATTGAGCGGAGTGTACGGATGGCTAAGGCCAGGCTAACTCTGGCTCCTATTGACTTGAAATGAAAAGTAAACTTCTCTGGCTCAGTAACTTTTTGTGTCTCACTCACTATTTTTGGCTTTGTAAATCCAGATACGAGCCATACACATTTACCAATCAGATGCCTTCATTGCAATGGAAACTCACGTTTGCCTTGGCAACTATGTTAGCGACACATTCATTTGCATCTGCCCCGCTATTGCTATGGAACAAATGCCCATATAAGGAAATTAGCTCCAGCTAGTTAATGTTCAAATTCTCTTCTTCAACATCTGGGGCATTTATGGACATACATTAACACTTATGGACATGGTTCATCCTGTTCCCTATAGACCAGAGGCTCCTATAATAATAATAATACATTGGACCCAGAGTCTGTAATAAACTTGAATTGAATAATAATATGAATACATCAAACTTATATATCTCTATTTTGGACACTCATGTGTTTGTTATTATTGCATTTTATTATATTATAAATCTTGTCTTTTGTCTTGTTTCAGAGCGGTGGCGCTAGCATCTAGACGTGGGCCGGGCCGGAGCCACCACAGTGCTGAAGGATCAACGACGTGAAGACTGACCATGAGAGCATGTGACGAGGACAGCTCCAACCATTCACCAAAGAAACTTTCACAGATTAATTTATTACATCTATTTTATTATTATAATCTATTTGAGGCAGCTTAAGCCACTTTGGACCTTTATATTTATATGGATAATAAATATATTATTCAAAGAAGTAAGGTTGGGTGTCTTTTTGTGCTTTGTGACAACTAGGTAAAGCAAATTCAGTTCAATTCACATGTAAAGTGAGTGGAACAGTGGTTTAAAGCTAGGGTATGTAACTTTCAAAGCCACAATACATTTAGCTATGTAATGAAATAAAACTTGTTTCTATTTCTTGAAACAGTTTGCTTCTATCACTAGTTTTCATGCTTGCATATTTTTTTGAGACAGAAAAGTGAAAAAAAGAGGACCACCCTCAATCAGCCAATCAGCTCTCAGCCCCCAGACAAGTACGCTAAAGATAACATGAAGCTAACTTATAAGATGAAAGCAGTTGTTGTCTGATTTGACTTTTTCTGTTGGGACAAACAACATTTATCATTTGTGATTAAAGAAAAGTTAATCACAAAGCTTTAAAATAATGATACAAGCAGTTTGAAGGAGAAGCTGGTCTCACATTTTCAGGGAGACTGTTTTTTGGAGATTTCAGCTCCATGAATCTGAAACTCACATGTTTAGTCCCGACTCTGGGACTCTGCTTCCCTCCAGTGTGGACACTACTTTAAAAATGTGTCATACAATGTTAATTAAGTGATTTTTTTCCACTCTTGCCAAAGTTAAACCATGAGAAATACAGTAAAATTCAATGCAATTTATAGCCAAATCATACAGGAAACATACAGGAAACTAATCATATATTCATTATAATGACAATAATAATAGTGCATCGGTTTTATAAAGCGCTTTTCTGGGCACTCAAAGACGCTGCACTTGTTGTTATTCTTTCACGCAGCCATGGGGCACTCTGACAGAAGCTAGGAAACCACGTGCCATCAGCCCCTTCGACCACCACCAACCATTCATACACACAGACTCATTCTAGGCCATGTGGGTGAGGACACAACGACTAAGAACACAACAACAGTTTGGCACTTTACAGCCACAGCTGCCCCACTGTAGCACCTGGTGTTCCCAGAGGTCTCCCATCACAGTACTAACCAAGCCCTGCCCTGCGATCTGGCTTTCACATACAGGTATGGCCACATACCTTAAACTCCATTTTAAAAGAAGAACATACATTCCTTTGAGAGAACGCACAGCTATTTTTATTTGTTTTATATTAGCCAATTAGCTATTAGCCGTCCAAGTCTAAAATATGATACACACAAATGCAACCTTATATGTTTTCAAAAAGAAATAAGTCAGTGTAATTGATCATGTTTTTGTGCATTATGAGGGTAGGATAAAACAAAATACAATATAATCTGAAGCAAACATGTAAATGTCAAGTTAATGTTTAAATTCAATTCAAATTCATATTGTACTGTACAACACATACAGACAAACCTGTCCAATAGTGAAAACTGAAAATGGTCCAGTGTGGAATTTAAAGTGTATGTGAGGCCTGCAGCAGTGAGGGAGGGGCAAGGACAGATGGACGGACATCGCACAATCTGTTGCCTCTTTGTCATCGTTTGGTTTCAATCCGAGGCTCGAAATGTCAATAACACCACAGTTGAAGCAAAGAGGAGTTCATTCACAAGAAGTATGGCCTTCAAGAACCTCTGCAAAGGATTATGGGAATACATTTTTGGATCAACGTTTATAAGCATCAAGAACTCATGAAGCAATTGTACATTTACAGTACTCCACGAGAAGAATTTGACCCATTGCTCTTTACAGATTTTGTTAAGCTATGTTACTCTTATTTATTTATTTATTTATTTGAGCATCTGTTAAAACACATGCAAGACATTTATATGAGTTGGTAATTTGCAAGAATGATATAATTAATGACAAGGAGTATATCCAGAAAATGATGCTCAAAAGAAGTGTATGCTACCTCTTTGGTTTCCTCAACCGTTTGGTGGATCACTTTTTGAGTTACTATATCTACTTGAAGCTTGGAACTGAAATCTAGCTCTTTGGGGCATCTCTATCACTAAAAGAACAAAAAACATAAAAACAAATACAGTATGTGTTATTAGTGCTCCTACATCTTAGAAAATCATAAAAAAAAAAAAAAATGCTTTCTTTGTGGGTTGAACACTGAGGGGTAATTGTATCCTATCCCCTGTAGAGAAATGTGTTCTCTGCATATGACCCATCCTCATTGATCCCCGTAGTGCAGCACCCAGCACCCAGGACCTAGCATCCAGGACCCAGCACCCAGGACCTAGCATCCAGGACCTAGCACCCAGGACCCAGCACCCAGGAACAAGCACCAAGCACCCAGGAACAGCACCCAGCACCCAGCACCCAGGACCTAGCACCCAGGACCCAGCACCCAGGAACAAGCACCCAGAACCCAGCAGCAGATGTTGATGGTTGGCTGCTGGTGTCCTGCATGTTTTAAATGGAAATGGAAACTGGATTACACAGAGTAAAGCTCCACAGACACGGGGAGAACACACAAACTCCACTCAGAAAGGCCTAATTCCCACAGTTATTCCAACCCTGGACCGGAGTAGCAAGAGTAACCACTAAGCCACCATACCACCCATCTAATAACAAGTTTATTCATGTGATATCAAGTCATTTTCAATCAGTATTGCTGCATGAAATGAATCAAATGCACAGTAATCCTCTCCTTCGTCTCCTTCAACTCTAAAGTGTGTCTGCAGACAAACAAACGTGTGACCAATATGTGGAGATGATCAGCTGTCAGCAGCATATTCTTCTGAAGCCTTGAAAGTTGTTGCCAAACGGTGTAAGTCTCTTGCTCTAAACTCCACCCTCCGTGTCCATAAATCACAGCGACTTCGTTCTCTCAGACAAGGACGACTCTGCGAAGCACCTAAGCCCGAGAGCAAAACTCCTACTTGAGTGAAAAGGTAATTCTGTACTTCTAAAACCCAGGCGGTACATAAATACATGAAATCAACACAAACCTGAAGGATTTTTATCGGAGGAGAGGTAGTGATGCAATGCAGAGAAATATTGAGAAATGTTTGTACGTAAATTAGTCTCCAGTGTGTATCTTTCTCTGGGAATTTAGGTTTAAGTTTATCTAAGGGAAAAGATAGACATTTTTACACACTGCAAAAAGTTACACGTCAAGAATATCTAAATTTCAACATATTTCGAATGCCTTAAAACAAGATTTGCCAATGGAACAGGCAATATTTTCTTGTTTTTATAAAGATACAAGAAATGTCTTCCCTGGAATGATTTTTTTTTCTTGAAATAGAACTAAATGGCTTTATCCCATTGGAAAATCTTGTTTTAAGACTCTACTCAAATTAAGATAAAAACCAAGCAATTATTTTATTAGTTTTTAACGGGTATGTTTGAAATAGTCCATGACCAAATAGATTTTGCTTTTACCTGTTTCACATTTCAATAGGAACAATCAGAAAAGAAGAGGACAAGTACGAGTCAGGCTCATTTCTGCCCCATAAAACTTATCATCGTGATAATATATGTTGACATAATTTAACATTTTTTTTGCTGAAATGCAGGGGAGGGAGGTTTTAATGGGTGATGCATAGTCTGTAAACTTTCTCTTAAATCAGGTAAAGTACCAGCTTGGCCAGGTACTAGCAAGTACCTGGTAGCGGTTAAACAGGGCCGGTGGAATCAGGACTTTACAGACTCATTGTGATTTCTATCGAGCTTGTGGCAAAATTGCATCATAAAGTTGTAGATAAAGGTGATTTATGCTGGAAAACAAATGTAGTGATTAATCTTCCAAAGGGACATGAGTCGACCTCAGGAAAGACACAGGCCTCATTTATACTGTCGCCGCCGCTGCTGCCAAGAGCGCAGGGAACATTTTGTCAATTTCATTATGACTCAGGGCTTTCTCAGAGCGTAAAACAAATGCATTGGGAGAAAAAGGAGTTATCTCTGTTTGGTTGAAGAGATGCAGAGATTACATAGAGCTAGAATTATGGACTGCCAATCAAAAAGCAGCTAATGCAGGCAAATAATGTACCCAAAACTCCTGAAGCAGCAGAGGGAAGACAGGCAGAAAGCAAAAGTTTAGTTGTTCATTAAAATGGATTCTACTACACCTCAGACTTCACATACGACGCACACAGCTGCCACCTGCAGAAGTTCTCCGACGACTCTGCCATCGTGGGCTGTGTGTCTGAGGGGAACAAACTGGAATATCGGTCGGTTATCACAGACTTTGTCAGCTGTTGTGAGCGCAACCACTTGTTCTTGAACACCAGTAAGACCAAGGAGATGGTCATCGACTTCAGGAGAAAACCACTTTCCCACACGCCGCTGAACATCCAGGGGGAGGACATTGAGCTGGTGGACAGCTTCAAGTACCTGGGTGTTCACATTAACAATAAACTGGACTGGTCCCATAATACAAACGCCCTGCACAAGAAGGGCCAAAGTCGCCTCTTCCTTCTGAGGAGGCTGAGGTCCTTCGGAGTGAGCAGGCCTCTGCTCAGGACTTTTTATGACTCTGTGGGAGCCTCTGCCATTTTTACGCTGACGTGTGCTGGGCCCCGGGCAGCACAGAGCGGGACAAAAGCAGACTGAACAAGCTGGTCAAGAGGGCCAGCTCCACTCTGGGCTGCCCCCTGGACTCTGTGGAGGAGGTGAGGGACAGGAGGGTGCTAGCCAAAGCCACCTCCATCATGAACAACTCCTCCCACTGCACAGGACTGTAGAGGAGCTGAGGAGCTCCTTCAGTGGAAGACTGAGACACCCTCAATGTAAGAAGGAGCGCTACCGCAGGGCCGCTTTCAGACTGTACAAAAAGTCACTTTAAGTCACTGTATTAAGACTGATATACCTGCGCTACTATTGACACTGTTTCTGATTGCCACTTTTTAAA